GCTGTTTGTTCAGACTGTAGCCTCAGAGCACTGTGACTATATTGTGTCCTTTGTAGAGTAAGTGGATAAAAAAGAGAATGGATTTATTGATGGTGCTACCCAATATGCTGGATGTACTGTCATAGTTTAATATGTGTCTTTTTATATTTTTACCTTTATATTTTGTAAGTTTGTGTGTTGAAAAGAATAGCAGACAACCGCTGAGTCCAGAAAATGTGAGCTCTTAGAAAATCCTTTTCTTTTTTTTACCACTGCTGAGAAGTCTATTCTGGTGAAGACAGATTGAGTGAAGGAGGTCAATTAAACTACCTGGCATCTTCATTTTGTAAAGGGATACCAAACCCTATTTTAGGAGTCTCACTTTTTTAAAATAGAAAACTTACATTTTGGTAAAGCACTTCAAGTTTCCTGGTGGTTTTAAACTTAAACTTATCTTTATTTGTCATTGTGACACAGCACAGCACAGCACACCATGCACAACGAAATTTATCCTCTGCATTTAACCCATCACCAAGTGAACAGTGGGCAGCCGTGGTCAGCGCCCGGGGAGCAGTGCTTGAGGACGATGCCATGCTCAGTGCATCTCAGTGGCAACCTGGCAGTTGGTGGATTCCGAACCGAAGTCCGCTTCCTTTAGTTGGTGGATTCGAACCTGGGGCCTTCCGGACCGAAGTCCGCTTCCTTTACCACTAGGCCACCACCGCCTCAATTTTATGAACCAAGTTAAGACAGAATTTAAAAAATACCCCGCTTTAGAGGTTGATGCTTATAACGATTAAAGTTGAAACAGAATCACATTGTAGGTACTACCACAGTCCTTTTAAGGACTCTAACTCCCATAATTCCACTGCTTCCGGTAAATCCACATACGTCACGATCAGTAACCTCCGCAACCTTTAAATTGGGGGGTCAGCCCCAATTTTAGACTCTCTGTTCAGGACTTTCGCTCCGTAGGACCCCTGATGAAAAGAGAAAACTGCTCGTCTCAGAAGACTAAGAACCAACGCGCTTTTGTAGACACCATTGCCCACGGTGATAAATGCACTAGTAGCGTCTTTTTCTTAACTGAGTTAACCGGTAATAAGTTACACAAGTAACGTAGCGCTGCGACCAAAGCAGTTATTGAAAAGTTTAGAACCGAGAGGATTCCTTCTAATGGTAATCGTGTGAACCGGCACATCGACAGTCAGAGACTTTTCCTCCCGAAACGGATTTTCGGAACCAAGAGGGCTCTCTGGACACAGTGGAACCAGACGGACGTCCCCAACTCTGGCAAGGACCCAAGAAGTGCGGACTTTCCACTACCCTATAAATACGAGCAGACATTCACTGCAGTAAGGCTGGCATTTGGGCACGTTAGTTAACCTGTAGTATTTTTAAGTGCTATTTAAACTTAGGGACAGTTTAAGTACGCATATTGAATTTCGTTGTCTGAAATCTGTGCTGCTTTTATAGCTAGGCTGTTGCATGCACTTCTTTTCTAACCTCCTGACTCGGTGTTATACTCTTGTACACCGTCAGTATTTCAGTGTTAACTTGGAACGTTATCAGTATTGGGATCAGGAAAACTCCGACAAAGTCCTTTGTCTGGAGTAGACCACGCGGTACGCCTCCCTTCCCCCATATACTTTGATAACATCACAAGCACTGTTTCATTGTACCTGAGCGCATCTTGGTGCGCGTACACAACACCCATTCACACCTCCGTGAGCGCATACACGCCTCACGTGTTTCCTGTTGCCGTTCCTTCTACCTCGCAGTTCTTCTTCCACTGCGCAGTCGCGTATGTGAACACGCCTCAAGGGCTCAGTCGCTTGCTTGGTAGCTGAGAGGCAACATCTCTCTCTCTCTTTCTCTCTCGTACACGACCGCTCGTGTACACACGCACATAAGTACACACACACCCCTACACACACGCCTTGTTTTGTTATAATGATCATTGTTTATGAGTTCAATCACCGTCATTAACTTGACAGTGTTGTATAAATAAATTTGATTATTTTTGTAAACTGTATTTGTCTGTGTTGTTACTTTATTCATTGAAGCCACCCAATTTGCCAAGAACTCTCAAAATCCTTCAGATATTTAATTGTTATTGAATACTATTGATTTTAGTATATTTGTAATACTTCAAGTAATACATTATTGCTATATTAGTAGGTTAAAATAATAATTAAAGATAACTTTAATGAGAGTGGTTGATAACACCGAGTGCCCCTAAGCAGCACTCGACCCATTGCACCTACAACGTTTACCATTGTCACATTAACACTTTTTGAATGTTGGCTATTGAAGACATCAGCATCTGTTATAATTTACTCATTTTTCAAAGTAGTAGGCTGCAACTGCTCAGCACTACATTTTCACTGTATGCAGAGACCATGACCCTATCATTTACAATAGCACCGGTGACAATACTATCACAGAATCGGGATTTTGAACCCTCCATTGAAAACAATACGAATTGTCCTGTTAATTTTTGGCACAGAACTTGTTTCCATAGTCTAAATGTTTTTGAAATATGAAAAGTTGACAATGACAGGCTTGCATTTCTTTTAATCATCTACTATCTAGTATCTTTAATAATCTAATAATTAGGTATTTCACACAGTCTAGTACAAAATGTTGTGGCTAGACCTAAGCCTTGGGTTGATACTCTTTTTATATCCTACTTTACTTTTTATAGACTATGATAACACATATCTCTATTTTGTCTGTTACAAATTACCATGGCAACACACTCTCTGGTGTTTCATCACACCACATTGCCTCTTACTTAAAATATGAATGGTGTAGCTGCCACAATTAAATTAGCCAATTGGCATCAGCTTAAAAAGCCACTTACTTAGTGTAGCCTGAGCTCTCCCTGAGCCTAGTTTAACAAGACAGGCCAATTAACTAAACACAAGGGCAGACTGTTTTCTCCCTAAATATGCTTGTCTCTACTAATGATGAAAACACATCATTCCCTTCAACCAGCCATTTGACTGCTCCGATTGTCAGGTCACCTGGTACTCCCTGTATATATACCTCTCTCCCTCACTCTGACCTTGGGGGATCATTAAGTGAGTGTGTGTGTGTGTGTGCGTGTGCGCGCGCGCTGTCTTTGTGAGCGCTGTATAGTTTGTGCCAGCGTTGTGTTGAGCTTTTTGTTGTAGCTGTTCCTAGTTTGTTCCTGAGCAAGTCTGTTGCTGTGCTCAACTCTGTTCCTGTTCTCAGCTCTGCTCGACTTTGTGTATGCTTCTGTCCTGGTTTTTGGAATTTTGAATCTTGAAATAAACTACCTGCACCAGTCCTGCATTTGGGTCCTGCCTGCTTCCTGCCATGTCGATGGCTTATCGTGACACCAATGCAGATTTTTCATTTTGTTGGAACTCTGATGCTTTATATTAATGTGATTGGCAAACACCAAGTGTCTGGGGATTGCAAACTGCAGCAAAACAAAACTACCATGACAACAGAGACCAAAATTGGTAAAGTCGAGCTGGCACTAATATTGCAGCACAAAAGAGACTGGCAGGGCAAAAATAAAATCCATCCATTGCAATCTCAAAGGTATTATGAGACAGTCCCAACAGCTCAGATAAATTCTTAATTAAACAGACTTAGATCATCTTCAGTTTTCCACTAATTCTGACAAAAGTGTTGCTTCGCCGTTCTTCCCAACTGTGTGCCAAATTGACACCTACAAGTCAACTGTCAGAATGGTTGAGCCTGCCATCTGTCTCCATACTCATCATGTTGAGTGTTCTAAGGGATTGAAATAACATAAAAACCTTTGCTGTTGCAAGCATTGTTTGTTCCGTAGGCCCGTAAAACATGGACAGAAATTGTTTATGATCAGGTGATGCCATGTGCAGAGAGATATTTGGTAGGCAGAAACTTTGACCATTGAGTTATACCTTGAATTGTATTGATTAGAAGAGAAACACACGGACATGAGATCAGGAGGACATGGTCTATGGGCATAGATTGACAGCCTTTTTTATAGACAGGAGTGGCTGTGCGGGAGCACCAAGATGGTATAAGCATGAGTCTGACAAGGGGGCAGGGCATTCGAAAGAGCCCCTTCCCCCTTTGAGCTTTTACATAGTCCTCTAGGAGACCTTGGGGGACAACAGTAAACAGATGTCAACCAGATACTAACCTTGTTTTAGCAAGCAATAATTGTGCATAAAAGGTAAATGTCATAAGAGAAAGACACAAGTGCATGAAATAGCATAGCTTAGTTTACATTTAAGTAATGCCCCTTCTTCTGTTAATTACTAGCAGGAATTATAGAGAATGCGTTAGTCAACCAAATAATGAACATCTCTTATTAATGGCATGTAGGCTTTATTTGGGATAAACCGCCAGTTCAGTTGTTTATTCATCTTCTATGGCTAAATCGGGGACTTAATCAGTATGCCCTGGATAGATCACCAGTCCATTGAAGGGCCAAATAAATAGAAAAACTACCATTCACAATCACATCCACATCAAAGGTTAAGTAAGGATGAACATTAGACCTAATCTCCAGTCTGGATGTTTTTTAGTAGAAAACTGGAGTCCCTGGCAAAAACACATGCACACACTTGAAGAACATGCAAAATCCAAAAAGAAAGATTGGAGATCAAACCAGTGGACCTGTGGTCTTCCTGCTATCAGGCATTAACACTAACCACTAACTCTTTTGTGTGGTACTGTGTAAGTGTTTTTGTTTTCTGTATTCATTGACAGATATTTTATAATAAAAAAAGGGTTCTTTGATGAGTTGTAATTTACTTGTTAGTACATTTACTTTTTAGCATGAGCACTTTTTAAATTACAAATGGAATAAAAGTTTTAACATTAGTCCACACAACATTTGGATTTTGAATATACCGGTAATTGAAAACTATCATGCATGCTTAAACTAAGGTGTTTCAATCAATATCTAACAAAAACATATAAATCAATATGGAATTTTGCTGAATCCTGCAAAGTAGCTCTTTAAATACAAGGATGTTCAGGTCTCTTACCCAAATCTGCAGTTTGATCCTTTTGTCATTCTTGTACACAGTCTTCACTTTGAAGTCAATGCCCACTGTGCTGACGAAGGCTGAAGTGAAGGCGTCATCTGCATAGCGGAACAGGAAAGAGGTTTTGCCCACGCTGCTGTTGCCAATGATGAGCAGCTTGAACATGTAGTCGAAATTTTGATCCCCTCCCTCCCCCTTTTCTTTCACATCTTGAGTAGCAGCCATCTGCAAAGACAAAAAGAGAAATGCTGAATAGAATAGATAAAAAGCGTTACCTTGAGTCACAGTGGAGGGCTTGTAGAGCTGTGTGGCTAAGCTGAATAGAAAAATAATAAAAAAAAGTCAGTTTAAAGTTGACTCTCGTACAGTATATTTTTTTTAAAAAAAGAAAAATAATTACGTAAAAATTGCTCTAGCTCATTACAACATACCAAAAAGTAAAAAAGAACAGTACACAGTGTAGTGCTGTGGAAGGTTGTTGTACAGGCCACAGATCAGAGGTGACAGAAGGCTGTGTAAGAAAACACAGCATGACTGACACAGCAAGCTGTTATATTGATATTGTATTAGATAACTAAGTGTCTTCTCCAAAGCCATTTATTTGCTTTTTGCCATTATTTGTATCCATATTTTATTGTGTTGGTAAAATTGACCTGGCATTAGAAAAAATCATGTTAAATGTGTTTAATGTTGAATATTCATCTGTAATGTACCACAGATTACATTACGTATTACATTATGATTATATTATGCCTTTGTCAGGGTTCAATCCAAAACGACATCACATTTGTATTTTACTGCAATACATTAAACACATTTTACAAAATGTATTTATGCATACTAATTCAGCAGTTTCTGTTAGAAATGACACCATGATACAATCTTTTACCGTAACAGCGCAAATTTCGAAATTTCCGTGTAAACGTTCGATTGTTCGCAGCGCGACTCATCTTCGCTCCAGTGTGATTATTTCGTCAAAGCTACTGCGCATATTTGGCTGCGCCTGTAGAATCTCTGCATATCTAAAATATGCCAGACCTCCATCCTGCTTATGCGTTTATTTCCATATGTTAGAGAGAGAAAGAGGGAGGAGGGGGGTGAGGGAGAGAGATGCCACTATGGCAGCTTTTGCAAGAACACCGCTGAAATTCCTGTTTCCGTCAATAAAACACAACCACAGTCGTACAAACTGCCCTTGTTATATAAATGAAGATAGCTGTAGATGCCATGTAGTGTGCTGCACGCCGTATGCAATAAAAAAATCACATTAATGACAATTTCATCAGTTGATGAAATGATTCTACACAAATTACCAGAACGTTTGGAGGATATCGTGTTAACAAACCTGTTATTGGAGGTCTCGGCTTTATCTGAATCTGTCCCTGTTTCTCAATGTACTTGAGTATTTTTAAATGAATACGGGCGTTGGTGTGTTCCTCCTCCGTCTCTGTTTTTGAGGCGCAGACCAGTTTCAGCACTAGGGAGCTGTCCCCTCCGCCTCGGATCTGGCATGAGCAACGGAGGGCGCGTTGCGTGTGTTGCGGCATGTCTCTGACGTCATCTGGGGGGAATTGTTGTGATGTGGGATTTGCATGAGGCATGGGGGTTGTAGTCTTGGCACTAAGATGGAGGACGCCATCAAATGTATAAATTCTACAACAGCATGCAGCGGCGCATCCACGCTGTCCCATGTGACCAAAACCACAGCAGCGCACTGTGAACGGATTAAAGTAAAGCTGGAAAAGACTTCAGCTCCTGCGCTCCGTTTTTTTTAAATTTATTTATTTTTTTATACTAGCGTTTCTGTAGGTAAACGTGACAGTGTTTGTCCCTGCTGGCCCGCCTCACTCCCGTCTTACCTTTCCATACAAATCCATTGGATCCTCGACTTACTTGCTTGCTTTAAATATCACTCCACCAACCTTTTTCTCCTCTCCTCAAATTTATTCTGCTCTCCTGTGGCGTCACTCTTGGTTGATTTTTCCTCGCCCCATGCGTTTGTACAGCGGCTGAGTAAACAGAAAAGGACAGACTGACAAAGAGCGCTTAGTGCTAATGAGTATGGGTATAATATAGACTCTCAATAAAAACGAATATATTTGCAAAAATTATTATCTTAAAAAGTTATTGCATCACATCAGTTAGTACAAATACACTACGAATAATAATACATATACTAATAATGATTATGATAGTAATAATAATAGTAATAATAATAATAATTATTATTATTGTAAATAATATACTAAAAGTAGTAGTAATGTATATATTTTTAAAAGTGTACGTTCAAGGCCCAAAGTACGGTAGGTCTTTGTCAGTAAGACCACTGTTTTGGCTGCAGTACCTCAAGTGACCAGCAGTGCCTTGCTTCAAAATCTGGCACCTGCAAAATATTCTAAATATTCCTAAATTAGTATTATTAAATATTTTAATCCTTTAATAACTACTTAGTCATTTATTTTCCATAATTAATAATTTTGCAACTATTTGACTGAAGTAATATTTTTTATCATTACTCTGGTTCTATCATGTTATTATGGTGGAAATGTGGCAATAATAATTAAATAATTATATAAGTTTATGGGGTGGGTTTTGGTAGCAATTCTCTGCCATTGTTGTCATAGAAGAATACAATGAAAAACTGATATCTTTTTTTATTGCTTGAAAGCTTTTTTTTTTTTATCATTTTAGTGTCATTTTGGGTCTGTGTTTATGCAGGTCCGCTTGCATATGTTTAGATACGTATGTTTTGGGTTTGTATGGGTTTCAAATGTGATAGGATTTTATTTTTGTTTTTCTCCTTAGAGGTAGTCCAACAATGTTGCTTGAAGTTGACAACTAAATCAAACTACCACTTGCCCAGACTCAGTTGTCCCTTTTTTGGATTAGGTATTTAGTCATAAAACATGTCTGATTGATTGAACCGTTTGGACAAATAAGGAACAGATGCTTTGGCTTGTATCAGCATTTTTAGTCATTTATTTATTTATTAGTAATTTATTTATTTTAAACCCAGCCACTAGGGGGCACAAACCAGTGTTTTATAGTGCTGGTCCCAAGCCCGGATAAATAGTGAGGGTTGCGTCAGGAAGGGTATCCGGTGTAAAACCTTTGCCAAATCAAAGAATGCGAATTAAAACATTTTCCATACCGGATCGGTCGGGGTCCGGGTCAAAAACGACCACCAACAATGCTGTTGACCTACAGGGCACTGATGGAAATTGGGCTACTGTTGGTCAGAGACAGAGAAGAAGAGGAGGGCGTTTGGTTAGGAGAAAAAGAGAAAAGATGAAGAATAGAAGTGTTGGTCTGAAGTTTGAAACTTTGAATGTAGGTACAATGACAGGGAAAAGTAGAGAAATAGCTGATGTGATGGAGAGAAGAGTAGACATTTTGTGTGTGCAGGAGACCAGGTGTAAGGGCAGCAATGCTAGAAATATTGGAGGAGGCTACAAACTATTTTACCATTGGTTGGAACGGAACACGAGGTGATTTACAAGAGTGGAGGCAGGTCCACACAGATAGATTATATTCTATGTAGAAGAGGTAATCTGAGGGAGATTAGAGACTGTAAGGTGGTGGCAGGCAAGAGTGTAGCCAAACAACATTGGATGGATGTCAAGTGGTGGAAACTAAGGAAAGAGACATGTTGTGAAGACTTCAGGAAGGAAGTAAGGGCAGTTCTGGGTAGTGTTGAGATATTCCCAGATGATTGGGAGACTACAGCTGCAGTGATGAGGGAGACAGGTAGGAAGGTGCTAGGTATGTCCTCTGGGCAGAGAAAGGAGGACAAAGAGACCTGGTGGTGGAATGAGGAGATCCAGGAGAGTGTGCAGAGAAAGAGATTAGCGAAGAAGAGATGGGACAGTGACAGAACAGAAGAGAACAGACTGGAGTACAAAGAGAGGACAAGGGAGGTGAAGAGGGAAGTGGCCAAGGCCAAACAAAAGGCATATGAGGAGTTGTACGAGAGTTTGTACACAAAGGAA